CAACATTTAATGATCAATGATGTTTAAGTGATCCGCGTTGACCAAAATTGATGAAGATCCATTTTGGATCAAAGGGTTCAAATTAACATACTTGGGCTTGCAAACATAGGTTTAGGCCACGAATGATCATTTTCTCAAATCGGGACAAAATTTAGCGCTATGTTAAGCAATCGTAAGTGGACTTATGTAGAAGCCGCACCTATTTTGAGGCCAGTCAATAACAATCTATGTACTTCATATTTGGATAAATGATATAGAGATCATTATCCCATAACATGTAATACAATAAAAAAAAGGGGAAGATGAATAGAGAAAGGGATACAATGTATGGATTAGAGTCTCAAATGTCATCAACACCAGTCGTCCATTTTGGTGGATTTGGTTTATCAACCTATCAACACCCAATACCCAATGAGGTTGAAGAATTTGTCTCAAATCATGTCTCAAGTCAGTACCACATTCTATTTCAAGAATCAAACAAGAATCTTGTACAAAAGTTTTCAATTACAAGGATTAATCAAGGGTAAAAACCTAAATGCAACCCTAAATCAAAAATGGGTTAAAAATATGAAAATAACTTGTAAAAATATGAAATTAAAAACCTAACTTCCTAAGGGCCTGTAAATGTCAGAAATGAAATTTAGAGATCTTGGTTTGAAATGGAAATCTTGATTTTTAAATGCAAACATTGAAACTAGTAAGTAAAAGACCTAAACTAGATGGTTTTGGGAAATAATTTAGGAAAAAAATGTGAAATTACCTCTTAAATTTCCAAAAAATGTTTTTAGAATCTCAACATTTTCAAGCTCTCTAAACAACTTCACTTATGATTTTATAGGCCTAGGAAGTTAGACATTTTAATCAATCAATGTGGATGATCAAATAAAACCCTAAAAGAAAGAAATTAAATCTAAAAATTAAACAAAATGACTTAAGGTTCAAATAAATTGGATGTAAAGTAAACTAAGCATCAATAAAACTCTAAGGATATGTAATTATATTTTTTTAAATTTTCATCTCAAAGGGGAAAATTAAAATGGAAATTATTTAAACAAACTAACAAAATTAATTCAAATAAAATATATTATATCCAAATGATTTTAAAAATGTAACAATTTTTTTTTATAAAATTGGACAAAAAATATTTTCAAGTAATAAACTCAGAGAGGAGCCAAAAAATATTTTTTATGGATTTTTGATCAAAAGGAAAAAAAAGAAATAAAAAATTTAAAACCCTAAAATGATTAAACCCTAATTAATCTATTTAAATTTATTTAAATTTAAAAAATGATGAAACCAAATAAAAATAAAAATGAGGAAATGAAAATATATTGAAAATAAAGTTGGCAATATTTTTGTGGTAATTTTTTAGTTTAAGAAAAAATATTAAAACAAAATATAGAAAAACAAATAAAATTTTAAAAAAATGAAACTATCACACCTTCTTTTTTTAAAAATGCGCTGTAAAAGAAAAATGTATCCATGTTCAATCAGGTAGGGACATGTAATCGTCCCTACCAGTGTGCCAAATCCCAAAAACGCGTGAAACACAGTTTTAAGCAAGGCAACTTCCAGCTTCAATTTCTCTCTTATTACTCAATCATTTGAGATGATTCAAAAAGCAAACATGATCACCAAACTTATAAGAACATCACACGTCTTTTAGATTTCAAAAACAAGGCAGGATCAAAGAAAAATTGGAGCTCAAAGTCACTGAAAACGAACTTGAGCATGATTTGCAGAAAACTTCAAAACATCAATGGAGCTCGAATCAAACCAATTAAATACATCAGACCTATTGTCTGGCCAGCTAATGACATGTATGCAAGATTTCAAGCATTGATTTAAGCTATCAAACAAGGAATTCGGAACTGAATTTTACCTCTTCAAGTGAAAAATAAATTCACTATTGCCTGAATCTAATGATGAGTAATCCAAAGAATCTTGCTTCTTTTGCTCCAATTATGAGGAAATGTAAGAGATATGGGAGCTGGAACAAGAATGGAGGCAGCTTCGAAGAGAAGAAATACTTCATTTAGGTTTGGAACTCCAGGGATGTCCAAGTTTCCAACTCCTTTGATTTCTCCTCTAGCACCATCTCCAAAAGTGACATAACTAGTGGTATGAGGTTTGACATCATTCAGCAGATTCTTGATTCCAGTCATGTGTTTAGAGCATCCATTGTCAAAGTACCAGTCTTCCTTGGCAGAAACTCTAAGGGAGGTGTGAGCTATCAGGGTTGCAGTCTTTTTCTTACACTGTTGAATATATGGTGCCTTGTTAGTCTTAGGTTTGACATATGGGGTCTGATTAGGATATCCATATAATCTGAAGCAGAATGGCTTTATGTGACCAAGCCTTCCACAATAATGACATCTCCATCTTTGATACTTTTTCTTCATATTTCTCTGTTCTTGATGTTGAGTCCTATGTTGTGACATCTGCTTTGACATTTGTTTATCAGGCATGGTCTTCTTCTTGTCAACAGCAGATTTCTTTGCAGCCACAAATCCTAGACCAAACATGTTTCCTGCATTTTGTCCAGCCTAAAGGATTTCTTCCAACTTGTCAGTTCCATTTGTTAACATCTTGACAGACTTAGTCATCTGATCAAGTTTGGAGTTCAACATTAGAACTTCACCTTCGAGATAGATTATAGTAGCAGTGTCTGCCTTCTTCTCAGCCTCCAACTTTACTATAAGCTTTTTCTGTTTCTCATTTTGCTGACAGACTTCAGCACTTCTGATACATAGCTTCTTGTAGGAGTCAGCAAGTTCTTCAAATGTCACTTCCTCATCACTAGAATCATTATCAGAGTTACAAATACCAGATAGTGCAATAACTAGTTTAGCAGATTCTTCTTCAGAGTTACTTTCTGAGTCACCATCAGACCAAGTAATAGACATTCCTTTCTTTTGTTTCTTAAGAAAGGTAGGACATTCAGCTCGAATATGCCCATATCCTTCACATCCATGGCATTGGATTCCTCTGCTTTGATTTCCCTTTTCTTCAGACTTAGTTCTTCTGCTGGAGTCATAGGATCTGCTAATGTCAGAGGAAATGTTCTTGACATTTGACCTTGACTTTGGGTTCATTCTCTTGATGAGTTTGTTAAACTGCCTTCCAAACATAGCTATAGCTTCTGAAATATTCTCTTCATCACTCTCCTTGCTTTCATCTTCAGTATTGGATACAAGGGCTATGCTCTTGTTTTTCTTGTCAACATTTTCACTGATCCCCGTCTCAAATGTCTGAAGTGACCCAATGAGTTCATCAACCTTCAAGTTGCAGATATCCTGAGCTTCCTCTATAGCAGTCACTTTCATTGCAAACCTTTTAGGCAAGGATCTGAGAATCTTTCTCACCAACTTTTCTTTTGACATCTTTTCTCCCAATGCTCCTGAGGTGTTGGCAATTTCGAAGATGTTCATGTGAAACTCATGAATGGTCTCATCTTCCATCATCCTTAGATTCTCAAATTTGGTAGTGAGCATCTGAAGTCTTGACATTTTTACTTTGGATGTACCCTCATGGGTGGTTTTGAGAGTGTCCCAAACATCCTTGGCCAGTTCACATTGATGTACTAGTCTGAATATGTTTCTATCAATTCCATTGAACAATGCATTCAATGCTTTAGAGTTACCCAGGGCTAACTCATCTTCTTCTTTGCTCCATTCTTCCTCAGGTTTCAGACTAGTCGTCCCATCTTTCCCAGTTATGGTGGGATGGTTCCATCCTTTGTCAGCAGCTCTCCAAGCCTTTTTGTCCAGTGACTTCAAGAAGGCAATCATATGAGGTTTCCAGTAGTCATAATTTGATCCATCCAGAATAGGTGGTCTGTTCCCAAATCCTTCTTCCTTGTCCATAGCGCCAGAAAGTAATATCCCTAGATCTCACCCAGAAAGACAGGCAAGGTGCCTGCTCTGATGCCAATTGAAATTCTGGCAAGAGATACTTAATGTCACAGTAAATGTTATGACACCGTATCTGACAAATTGTACACACACCAAGCAGTAATTTAAAAGACAGTAAAGAACACAATCAATTGTTAACCCAAGTCAGTGTATAACAACACCTACTATGGGGGCTACCAAGCCAGGGAGGAAATTCACTATAAGAGGTATCAATTTAGGAATAAACCAACCAGTTTATCTCCTTCACTTAAGACCTACCCAATGCAACTTCAATCTAAGTCCTACTTAAATCTGAGTTCCTACTCACCCCCCCTCAATCACAGCAGTGATACTAATCTACTGATTAATAAGTTTATGAAGACATTCTTCAATACACACGCTTGATTTTGCTTCAAAGCTTTAATCAAGAGACACAACACTCGTGCTTCAAAGTTTTGAGTGATAAACAACCCTTACAACCAAATCCTACTCCAAGTCACTTATCAAAATGATAATTTCTTGGCTCACAGTAGTTACAACTATACAATGCCTTATTGATCTTCTGTCAAAAGCGCTACTCACCATTAGGCTTTGTGAGAAATATATAAGCAGCCTATTCTTCATTTAGGGCTTCCATAAAAATAGCTAGGGTTAACCAAAGTTAACCTAAAGACTTGGTCTTGGGCTTTCATCATAACAGATTAGGGTTAAGCAAGGTTAACCTAATGTCTACGTGAGCATCTGATCTGGACAATATATTTCAACTCAGAGTAGCACACCAGATTCCTGAAAATTCTCAGGAATAATAAATCTGCACAACAACTTGATCAGTACAGGATGTCTTAACATTGGTTATGACATCATGTATCTTGCTCACTGATTTTGGTAGAATTCAGTACATATGATCATAGCTTAATCATCATGATATTCACTCATACTGAGTAGTTCCTGTAGAACATTCCTTCTGTAGAATTTACCTTTATCCCAGAATGTTATGACATCAGTCATGACATTCGCAAATCTGGTTTTACCAAAAAATTATGCCAACAAACAAACACTTACAAAATCATTGCATCCTTCAAATCAAGGGGGTTTGATGAAAGACAAATGATCACTCTCTTAGGTGCCCACAACATTGGTGTAATCGACTGCAAATTCTTCAAGAACCGTCTCTATAACTTCATCGGAACCAATGAACCTGACCCTTCTTTGGATACTGAATTTCTAAATGTACTAAGATCAAGATGCAATGAAACTGATGGATTGTCCAGTTCAACATCAGCATATACATCCCATACCTCACCTTCTTCCTTAATTAAAGAACAACAGGAAATCACTATGGACTCGGAGAAATCTGTATCGAATTTCGGGATGTTATACTACCGCAGTCTGTTGCAAGGGTAAAGGAATCCTCTATGCTGATCAGCAGCTAATGGAAGGGGATAAAACCAAGTATTGGGTTCACAAATATGCATCTAATCCTAATTTGTTCCATCAAGATTTTGCCATGGCAATGATGAAACTCTCGGATCTCCAAGTTTTGACAATGCCTTTGGGACAGATTCGACGCACTTGTTCAAAAGTTGCATGACAGTGCTGTTCAGAAACTATCGCACATTTTTTGTATGCATTACATTCTGTTTGTTAACTGCAAATTTGTAGCCAGCTAGAAGCGTTCAAATAATATGATTTTTTCTAACACTCTTACCAGGTAACTAAACAATATAAGTTCTTAACTAAGTTGTTTATCCAAACAGAGCTGAAGTATATAAAATGAGAAAAGAGGCAAACACAAAAGTTGGAGTTCATATATATTATAAGAAAACATAAAGCTCTAAACAATTGAAAAGAAAAGTAAAGAAAGCTTTAAACAATAGGAACTAGAACATGCTTTTCATTGTGATTAAATGATTATCTTTTAAGTAACTGAATTGGAGCAAGTCTTTCCTTTGATTTTTTGAAGCTGATTGAGGGTTGTGGAACGATAAACTCTGAATTTAATTCAGTGAAAAACTTATCCACAATGTCTAAATAAACCGGACTTTTAAGGCGAGAATAGTAGTGTAGTGCTTCTTCTATGTCTAGTACATGTTCAAGATCACCTGAATCCATCATATCCAACTCCTTCATCTTCTGTGCCAAGACATGAGCTCCCTTTTTCTTCAGTTGTGATTGCGATGAGCTACTTTTGTTCATCTTTGCTTTTTCTATGACATCATGAATACCCTTTTGTGGACTTCGCTTTGGGAAATTCATGAAGTTTCCATTTCTTGCAGCATCTTCCATTGCAGGCTCTTTTGACATTGATTTGGTATTGGTATTGGTATTGTTATTGTTACTAAACACCCTCATTGTGCTGAGGTCAGACTGCAAGAGATCATAGAACTCGTTGTAGAATTGGTCGCTTGTGTAAGCTTTTGCATTGTCAATGTTACAAAGGAATGGACTGAAGGAAAGAGATCTTGGAAGTTTTTGGTACCCTCCAGAGAAAAAAGACCTGAAATTTTTGAGACTTTTGTAAAAGAAACTTTTGGTCTTGTGAATGGTTTTTCTTACATGCCCCATTTTGGTTATGGTGTGAAAGGTTGTGGACTTGTGGCTTTCTCTAAGTGGTTCTGTCTTCTAGAGCTGTCATGGTTTAGCTCTTGTATAATCTCAAAACTTTGTCCTAATTCAGACTCACAAATCAAGAGACGTGCGCATCATAACTTGTTTGTTTGTTACTATCATCATTCACCAACTCAAGAAAAGAGGAAGGTGTTTCATTCAAAACTAATGCACCTATAAAGCAGATTCAACATACTACTTTTAACAGAAAATTGAGTATGCATCACTGAAAAATAATTAATGGCACACATTCTAGTCAGAAATACTTGCTTATTATGTTTAGAAAAAGAAGTGCATGGTCCACATTGTATAGTAAGATTGGCAATGAGAAGATAGCATTCTATTTACAGCAATGAATGTGACAGTTGGACACTTGCCACTGTTTCAATCACTCCATCCACCACTGTCCTAAATTATGAAGTTAAAGCGACTGCACTTTCAACATATTGGCATTATTTGTTGCTTTCTTCAAAAATTGTTGCCAGTGGAAAGCTACTCCACCCTGGTGGCTACTGACATTATCTTTTGAAGTACAAACATGGATGATAAAGACCAGACCAAATAGGATGTAACAAAATAGCAACTTGGTTTTGTAACAAAATTTAAAAATGGTTTTAAAATAAAATGAAGAAACTTGGGTAACATTAGTTTTTATAGACTCTACTTTCATAATCAAAAGAAGGGAAGAAAACTACAATTCCTTGGGGAACCACAGTAATCAAGTTGCATAACAAAAGACCTAGTTCTCGCATCTGTAAAGTACAAGATGCGGCGTAATTAGTCATTTTCCACATTTAATTGGTTCATATGGTTCTCAAAAGACATGGTTCTCATTATTTTTATATATAAAAAATTCATGCATTGTGTTGCATTTCTTTCCTGCAATTAATCTAAATTCTGGTAAACTATTAAAATCATTTTAGTTTCTGTTTGTTATTTCAAAAATATCAAGAGAAAATGCACATTGATGGTTATGATGTTAGTTTTCCAGAATTAATATATCAGGTAACCAATATTGAATGAAGAATGGTAGATGAGAGCAATGACATGCTCGCCATGTCTGCTGAGCTCCTGGAGCTGTAGCTAAAATCAAAGGTCGGTAGGTCCACGGGAAACTGCAATTGGCATAATGCTCACAGGAGGGACAATATGACCACAAGAAAAGAAATGCAACTGAATTGTGTTGGTGCAAGGTAATGAAATTGAAGAAGAAGAAAGAAAATGATAAATGCTATAAAGCTGTCACAAATGATTAAAAGAGGATTGATTGTATTAAATGAAATCTAATATATCTATTCATATACAAAAATAGTAAAGATAAGAATGCCATATAGGCCCTAAAAGAGAATATCCAAAAATAGCAAATACTAAATTACCCTCTAATACCATCCCGTAATTTAGTAACTATCAGAAACTAACAACACCAATTTCATTTCTCAAATGAAGAAATTTGTCTGTTTTTATTGTCTTCGTCAGAACATCTGTCAGCTGTTTCTGAGTGCTACAGTGCAGAACTTCTAACACTGTTGTCTGCACTTGATTTCTCAGAAAATGATACTTCGTCTCAATATGCTTGCTTCTTCCATGCAGCATTGAATTCTTGGCAAGATTGATTGCAGACTTGTTATCAATCAACAACTTCAGAGGTTTCTCTATCTCAATCTTCAAATCCTCTAGAAGATTCAGAAGCCAAACAACTTGACATGCAGCTACAACACCTGCAATGTATTCAGTTTCACACGTTGACAGAGCCACAACAGGCTGTTTCTTAGAACTCCAAGAAATTGGACCTCCCCGAAATTTGAACAAGTAACCAGAAGTACTCCTTCTGTCAACTCTGTCTCCACACCAGTCAGAATCAGAATAACTCACTAATTTTGGTTCTGTCTTTCTTGCAGAAGGAAATAACACTCCATATTTCAGAGTTCCTTTGATATACCTCAGAATCCTAACAGCAGCTTGGTAATGAGACCACTTTGATTTACTCATGAATCTGCTAACCATTCCAACTGCATAACAAATGTCAGGTCTGGTATTGCACAAATACCTAAGAGAACCAACCAACTGCTTGAAGGTTGTATCATCCACAGAATCACCATCAGAATCAGAATTCAATTTATGATTGGTTTCTGATGGTGTCACAGCAACTTTGCAATTCTGCAGCTTAAATCTCTTCAGAAGTTCAAGTTCATACTTCAGCTGATATAGAATGATACCTTTCTTTGAGTACAGAATCTCCATTACTATAAAATATACCATATTTCTCAGATCTGTCATCTCAAATTCATTCATCAGAACTTCTATGAACTTGATTATATCTTCTAGACAACTTCCTGTAAGAAATATGTCATCAAGATATATACACACCAGAATCATATTGCCACCAGAATGCTGCACATACACGTCATATTCCATCTCACATTTCTGAAACTTCTGCCTCTTGAAAAACGAATCAATTTTCATATTCCAAGCTCCGGGCGCTTGTTTCAGTCCATACAAGGCTTTATGTAACTTGTATATCATCCCTTCCTGATTCTTTTTCACAAATCCAAGAGGTTGTGACACATATACCTCTTCTTTAACGGACCATTCAAAAATGCAGACTTCACATCCAGATGTATCAAAGGCCAATTTCTATTTGCAGCTAAAGCAATCAACAGTCTGATTGTTTCGTGTCTAGCTACAGGCGCAAACACCTCAAAGTAATCTAGTCCAGGTTTCTGAAGAAAACCTCTAGCCACTAGTCTCGCTTTGTGTTTGCCAATTGATCCATCTGGCTTAAGCTTCACCTTGAAAACCCATATGACGCTGATGGCTTTCTTCTTTTCTAGAAGCTTCGTCGGCTTCCAAGTTTTGTTTCTTTCAATAGTCCCAAGTTCTTCCTTCATGGCATTCAACCATATTTTCTTCTTGAGAGCTTCTTCAATACCCACTGGTTCAGAATCTACTAACATGGCACACTGAATGACTTCTCCTTCAGAATCTACTTCAGTATCATGCAACATGCTAAAATATGCAAACCTACTTTGTATTTGTCTGATCCTCTGTGACCTCTGAACTTGTTCTGAAGCTTCTCCAGAACTCGGAACAATGCTAGCTTCTGGACCTTGTCCAGAATTACTTCCTTCAGAATTACCACCTTCAGAGTTACTTCTGAAAGCTTGTCCTCCAGACCCTATATCTTCAGAGTTTTCCCTTTTGGAAATATAATCACCACCAGATTCTGGATCATCATCGGAATCTGGATCAGAATCAAATCCACTATCAGAATCTCCCTGAGATTCTGACTCATCTTCAGAGTCTTCAGATTCATCTTCTGACTCTTACTCGTCTTCAGAACTTTCTGAAGAATCTTCAGAAACTAACTTTGGTGTTGGTGCTACACCAGAATCTGATTGAAGCTTGTTCCAATTCCATGTTACTGACTCTTTCACAATAATGTCTCTGCTGATTTCAACTTTGTTGGTTTCTGGATAATAAAGCTTATAGGCACCTGTACTGTGGTACCCCACCAGTTGAAGGAAAATTGCGATCAAAAGCGCAGCAGAATTTAAAATTTTCCTTTAGCGATCCTTACGAATGAGCATGGTCAGTGATAGAAATATTTACCTCTTGTGGCGATTCAGACCTTTGATGTTGTGATCACGAGCATTGATGAAGAACAACGCCTCTACTCAGTCCACACGAATAGATCGCTTCCGGTCACAGTGCTAGCTGATCACGAACGGAAACCTTGAGTGAGAGAGAGAATCAAAAACGAAATTGCATCAAGTGAAATTGCTTCATCACAAGGGGTCTATTTATAGAATCACTCGTGTGGGCTACAAGCTAAAAGCCCAATTAAGGCTATAAGCTAAAAGCCCAATTAAGCTTATGGACATCATACCTTATGATGTACCATATATCACTTATCCACGTGGTACTTTACCACTTTCCGTATTACACTTAAGTGCACCGTACCTTACGGTGTTCCTTATTTATTCT